TACGATCTGCGAAACTGTCGCCACTTTCGAGGCCTGCTGGGGGGCCCAACACAGGCACGCCACGGGCGGATTCAAATTAGACCTCGCCATCCCTGGGGGGGCTGCGATCTGTGAAACTGCCGCCACTTTCGAGGCCTGCTGGGTGCCCAGCACAGGCACACCACGGGCGGATTCAAACTAGACCTCGCCATCCCTGGGGGGCTGCGATCTGCGAAACTGTCGCCACTTTCGAGGCCTGCTGGGGGGCCCAGCGCAGTGGCACCACGCGCAGATTCAAATTAGACCTCGCCATCCCGGGGGGGCTGCGACTTGCGAAATTGTCGCCACTCTCGGGGAGGCTGCGACATGTGAAACTGTCGCCACTTTCGAGGCCTGCTGGGGGGCCCAGCACAGTGACGCCACGGGCGGATTCAAACTAGACCTCGCCATCCCTGAGGGCTGCGATCGGCGAAATTGACGCCGCTTTCGAGGCCTGCCAGGGGGGGCCAGCACAGCGACGCCACGCGCGGACCCAAATCAAACCTCGCCATCCCTGGGGGGCTGCGATCTGCGAAACTGTCGCCACTTTCGAGGCCTGCTGGGGGGCCACGCACAGCGACGCCAAGCGCGGACCCAAATTAGACCTCGCCATCCTTGGGGTGCTGCGATCTGCGAAACTCCCGCCACTTTCGAGGGCTGCTGGCTTGTCCTGCGGAGCGAGGCACCGCGCGGACCTGAGCGGGGCATCGCCGTCCCTGGGGGGCTGCGATTTGCGAAACTGCCGCCGCGTTCGAGGGTTTCTGGTGGGTCTTGCGAGGCGAGGCACCGCGCGGACCTGAGCGGGGCCTCGCCGCCCCTGGGGGGCTGCGATTTGCGAGGCCGCCGCCGCTTTCGAGCGCTGCTGGCGGGCCCTGCGGGGCGAGGCACCGCGCGGACCTGAGCGGGACCTCGCCGCCCCTGGGTTTCGAGGGCTGCTGGCTTGTCCTGCGGAGCGAGGCACCGCGCGCGGACCTGAGCGGGGCATCGCCGCCCCTGGGGGGCTGCGACTTGCGGAACTCTCGCCACTTTCGAGGGCTGCTGGCGGGCCCTGCGGAGTCAGGCACCGCGCGGGCCCGAGCGGGACCTCGCCGTCCCTGGGGGGCTGCGATCTGCGAAGCCGTCGCCCTTTTCGAGGGCTGCTGGCGGGTCCTGCGGAGTGAGGCACCGCGCGGACCTGAGCGGGACCTCGCCGCCCCTGGGGGGCTGCGATCTGCGAGACCTCCGCCACTTTCGAGGGCTGCCGGTGGGTCCTGCGGAGCGAGGCGCCGCGCGGACCTGAGCGGGGCCTCGCCGTCCTTGGAGGGGAGGGCTGCGATATGCGAAATGTCGTCATTTTCTAAGGCTGCTGGCGGCCCCTGCGGAATGAGGCACCGCGCGGGCCTGAGCGGGACCTCGCCGCCCTTGGATCTGCGAAATTGACGCCGGTTTCGAAGGCTGCTGGCGGGTCCTGCGGAGCGAGGCACCGCGCGGATCTGAGCGGGACTTCGCCGTCCCTGGGGGGCTGCGATCTGCGAAACTGCCGCCGCTTTCGAGGGTTGCCGGTGGGTCCAGCGGAGCGAGGCACCAGGCAGATCTGAGCGGGACATCGCAATACCTGGGGGACTGCGAGCCTCACGAATGCCGCTGCAGAAGTAGATGCGCCCATGTCACGTCATCACCTCCGCGCAACGTCTCCCAAGCTACTCATGCCCCGCATTGCGCAGGGGCCGGGTACGTCGCCAGGGTAATTTTCGATTTCGGCAGAGGGGGCAAGCGAGGAGGAGTGGAGACACCGGATGAGTTCCGCACCGCCACAGAATACTTGATGGAGCCTTTGGTTGCAGCATGGGGGAGCTCTGGATGCGGATTTGCCCTCGACGCAGGATGCGGCTCGGATGCACAACGCGTACCTCGCGCATAATGGGCGGAAAACGTATTTTTACCCCCCCACCAGCATGGATGGATATGCAGCACACGGTTGACGGGTTGAGCGTCGTCATGCAGAAGGGAGCTCGAGAGTCGCCTCAATCGGTTTGTTTTTCTTGGAAGCCGGAGTCCTTGGAATACATGTTGCGCGGCGCGCTTGCCGGGACTTCGACGGGAGGCCTCAGAACGCAACAGGGGTCCGACATCTTGGACTATGGGGAACGCACGGCGCTAGATACTTCGGGTTGTCGGTCGATTAACGCGGCAGTAAGTGGACAAGTCTGCGGTACAACGCGACGCGCGCAGAAACAAAGTACTTCGTACATCAGCAGCTCTTCCGCAACAAAGTGCGACCTATGCGGACGAGGTTGCGGGCTTGGAGAGACGCGGCCGCCGCCGCGGCTGCAGGCGCCACAGAAACGTGGCACCTCACATCCGCCATCCTCCAACACTTTCGACGCTGGGAGTTGCAGATGTTACGGCGTGCTCTACGGTTGAGGCGAAGACGCACTGAAGGGCCCGCTGAATACCAGCAAGGCAGGTGGAAACATGGTCCCAGAGGCACTATGTGACATCAGTGGCATCTCGATGTCTGAAGGCTGGGTTCAAGGAGGCCTGGAAAGAACGGTGGTCCCGAATCGGGGGACCACGAAACCCCGCACAAGAGCTCCGGGAGCGCCGTGGACCAGCGTGGTGGGAGACTTGCCGCGCTATCTTACCAGAGCCGAAACGACGCAACTTCGGAGTGGCGCACCGCAAGGGCGGGCACCAGCCGCCAGACTGGGACCATCAATTTGTTGCTGCGGGGGGGACAAGATGGAGAGATGAAGTACGAAATCCTTGCAACAACCTCGCGGAGTGGACGAATAAATTCCCAGATTTCTCTGCTGAGTTGTCGAGGGAGTGGATGGCTAGCACCCGATGCCGGTGATGGATTCGCTTATCCATGGTTCACAGTGCGCTTGGAAGACGCGGCGAACTCTTCTCCTCCCTTGCCTCCTAACCCTCGAGAGGTGCAGCTAGGACAGACACGGAGAAGGATATGGGTGCAAACCGACAACCAGCAGGTCCAGGATCTCTTCGCTGGGAGATCTTTCTGCACAGTAGAAGTGGTCCAGCGTATCTGTGTTCGAATTGCTCGGCGATTGCATTAGTCCCTGAACAACGGTTGGTTACCCCGGCCGGGCACGGTACCGATGGTGGAGCGGGACCCCTGCCGGCAGAATTCAATCGCAGACCACTGCGCCAACATCGCTCTGCATTCGGAACATGATTGGAACGACGACACCAGGCAGGGCATCGCGACCAACGCAAAGGATACGCCACGAATCAGATCATGCGTCGATGGGGCCCTGCGCCAGCAGACCGTGGCAGCAGCTGGGATTGCAGCGCACTCCTATAATTATTCTTTGGGTCGCGTCTTACTTCGCAGAGCCGGTCGTTACTTGGGGCCTCTCCGCTGCTCTTTTGAGGCGGAGTTCATCTCTTTAGAATGGGGCCTTGATGAAGTGATTGCACGAATTAGCAGGTAGATGGCGAGATAGCTAGGAAGGAGCAGCAACGTTAGCGTAGCGCGGTGGGCCGGCGTCGTCACCTTGGCCTTATTGTCAGAGAGCCAAAAACGTTCAACCCCAGCTGCGAGTGCAACCTGGGGTGAATGTGTACCCTTTGGAAATGGCGCATGCCGTTCCCGTGTGCGTTACGTTTCTGCGCGCCGACCCGAGCGGCGCGTTCTTGCGGCCACGACGCGCTTTGCGCGCGGTTTTCTTGCGCGGCCTTCCGCGCATGGTTGCTTCGGAGGCGCGGGATTGATGCGCGCTTGCCCAGGCCAGGTTCGGTCGGTCGAAATTGCTGTCCCGCCACGCGGGGCTGCGCCCAGGAAACAATCAGGACGTAGCGTGTGATCTGGTTTTTCTGGGGCGCTGCGGCGTTATCAGCTGTCGGCGCCCGCGCAAGCATTCGCTGGAGTAAATTTACTCAGCGGGACCTTCACCCCAGGTTGTACTCATTTCGTTTTTCCACAAACCTTCATGTTTGCTTGCACATGTTACGCGTGTTGTTTTTCGATGTTTGGTGGAACCTTCATCTGAGGTTGCACATATAATTGTCCGAGGGGTTCACCTGGGGTTGCACATGTAGGTTTTCCCCGCGGGAGTTAATTTACTCGCGGCATGCGCCGTCCCCCCGGCCAGTCCGAAGCCCCTCACCCCGCCGCCGACTCCCCTCGTCGCGGGCGCGGCGGGAGGATGGGGGGCGAAGGGGGCGAGGAGGGGTGAAGGGTGAGGGGGCATGGAAAACGAAGGGATGGTCGGATGGAGTCACGGGGTCAGGGATGCCAAGTTGCACTTCAGGGATCGTTAGCACAATCTCTGAGTTGTAAATGATGGCGGCGGGGTGGGCTGAACGCGGCTGGGGGCGCGGTTCGAGCGCGCCGCGCCCTCGGCGCAACGCAAGGGCACTGGGCGCACCCCAGGTTGCACTCACATCTGGGGTTGAACGTTTTCCTCCTCCCGATATTGGGGGAATGAAAAATCACGTGTTTCATCCCAGGGGGTCCTTCGAAATTTGTAGCTATCGCTACCTTTTTGAACTTTGTAAAGTTGAGCAAGGAATCTTGAGCGGGACCCTCGTGTGCAAGTGGTTTGCGAGGAAGACCCGGGCGGGGGGCCTTCCTCACGGGGCCCGCGCCTCATGCTTTAGGGACGGGGCGGAAAGGAGGTGAGGATTTCTCTCGCACAAGACAAAGAGGTGTTCATGCGGGATCCGACCGTCTGAGTAATCTGTTGATCGCTCGTGCGCGAAAGATCTTGTTAGTGAAGATAGAAGGGAATCAAAGCTACAGCGCACAAGGAGGGGCGCCCTTCGCGCAGCCCGGAGGCGAGGCGCGACCAAAGGGTCATCTGCATCCAGAAGTATACTTGCGCAGCGGGGATAGCGCTCCACAGTGCGGTCCGGGAGGGGTGCGCCCGTGATTATCGTGTTTTTGTCTGTGGAGTGCGGCCATTGTGCGATGCGCCCCCAAATTCGCACGCATCTACGTTTTGCTTGTTGCTTTTCGTTGTCCTCCTCTATCCCAGGCACCACCATTGCGCACAAGCCTCCTCGAGAGCATCAGCTGAGCGAGGGCGATGCAAAGTTGGGCTCCGCGGCGAGAGCCGAAGGACATTCGAGAAGTTGAGGCGGGCGATTCCAGTCACAATGAGTCGTAGGTAGCACCGGACTGGCCATAAGCCTGGGACGCGTCGTTTGCTTGTTTGCTGCGGTACCTAAGTTCGAAAGAGCTGCCCGGCACTGTTCTTGCGTCGTCCCATGGCGTGCCATTCGCATGCATCGGCGATGCCAGTGGCACTCCGCGGTGCATTGGCAACCCCGTCGTTACTTTCTATTGAATGGCCTCCGGCCAGCACCGCCGACCTGAGGCGCACGAGGAGGAGGAGGAGGAGGAGGAGGAGGAGGAGGAGGAGCAGCAGGAAGAGCATGATGGGGAGGGCGGAGGGAGGAGGAGGAGGAGGAGAGCGAGGATGAGGACGAGGGTGACGACGAGGACGAGGACGATGATGTTGATGATTGATGATGATGATGGTGATGATGGTGACGATCATGATGGTGGTGATGATGACGAAGATGGTGATGGTTGTGTCGTCATCATCATTATCATCACCACCACCGCCATCATCCTCATCATCATCGTCGTCATCATCATCATCCACATCATCACCATCATCCTGAACATCAGCATCATCACAATCGTCATCCACATCATCATCATCATCACCATCGCAATCATCATAATCTTCTTATCATCATCATCATCACCATCATTATCATCATATTGTTCATTGCTCTCCCTCCTCTTCCTTTTATTCCTCCTTTTCTTCCGCAGCGATGATGGCGATGATGTTGATAACGGCGATGATATGAAGGAGGACTTGGGCGCCGACTAAGGGGCCGTCCGCGGGAACGAGCAACCCTAGGCTGGCGAGAGAGGGCGCGCGGAAGACAGCAGGGCGCGCCTGGCGCGTCCTCGTTGCCCATCGCGCGCAGGAGGGCGGCCGCCAGCGGCGGCAGCAGGCGGCGACGGCGACGCCGAGGCCAATAACAGCAAAACAAGTTAGTCTGAATCATCCGAGACCACCCCCGCCCGCTCCGCCCGAGCCCCCCCCCCGCCCCAGACGACGCGGCCTCCTCCAAACGGCGGGCCCTCGACACACGGCGGAGAGCGGGGCTGAGAGGAGCCTGCGAAGAGGACGCGGCAGGCTCAGCCTCCTCAAACCTCTCACCTGTGGAGGGGCGGAGGCCTTTCGAGGCCTTCGAAAGCTTCCGCAACTGCTTGTCCCTCGTTGAAGGCACTTTGGACGCACCGTGACAAGGGGCCAGGAGCGACCGAGGAACGCCACGCGGGAGCACCACAAAGCCAGCACACAATGAGCAGATCATCGCGCGACCGTACCTCTCAATCGCGCGACCGCGCTCAGCAAATTCACGGACGGCCGCCTCACCCTCATCCCGCGCGGGGTCTCCAGGAGGCGGGGGAGGCGGGAGCAGGCCAGTCGCCACAAGGGCCTGGTCTGCCTCAGCCACAGCAGCAGCCCTCACAGGCCACGCCCGACTACGAACACGGAGCCGCTCCTGGCCTTTCAAGGCCGCGAGGGCGGTTGGTTTGCAAAACTTGGAGGGGCCGCCACACAAGTGCACAAGCGCGTTGGGGGTCCAAACCCCAACAAAGCATGACAAGCAACGGACCTCACCCGAGGCATCATCAAGGAAGAACTCAAGGAAGAACTTGTGCCCATGTAGACTGAGCCTCGCCCAGGGCTGCGGCCGGGACATGTTCGGAGGAGGCTGGGGCAAGCCTGGCCGCAGCCCAAGCAATATAATCGATAGTGGAACGATGAAACTTAAGCTCCCCAGCAACCGCCTCGGCCGTAGCCCGAGCGATCATCGCGCGGGTCGAAGCCAACTTCGCAAACAAATCGGCCCATGCATTGCCGATCCACGTGATCGGATCAAGTTTTCACTCAAGGACTTCCTCCAAGGTGAGGTGAGCGGGGGTCCACACGAACGCGGGGGGGATACTCAGGAGGCCTGTGCGTGGCCAGCGCAAACACACTCCTCCAGATGGCGGCATATTTCTTCACGCCGCGCGCTAGCTCAGCACCCCATGATTGACCCCCCTGAGCCAAGACAAAAATCTGCAGAGACGGGTGCCTTTTCATTGCATGTAGAAGCGCGGTTCTCTCAGCTCTACCTAGAGTTTGGACCGCCCCTCCCGGGGAACCAAACGCAGCCCGAGCCAGCGCGCCTGACTTCACCCACCGCAGGACTCTGGGCGCACCCATCACCGAAGACCAAAGATATGATGGAGGAGGAGAAGGAGGAGGAGGAGGAGGAGGAGGAGGAGGAGTAAGGAAAACGAAAGAAAGAGAAGGAGGAGGAGGAAGGACGAGGAGGAAAAGGAGGAGAAGGCCAGGACCGAGAGCCGGGATCGGGGGAGCTGGGGTCGGGGCCGAGCCATGGCCAAGGCCAGGGCCAGAATCGGCGCCGAGGGAGGCTGGAGCCGGCCAGGGCCCAGCAGGGGCCGAAACAGGAGCCAGGACTGGGGCCGAGGCCAGAGCGGGGTGAAACCGGGCGAGGCCAGAGCCGGAAGTCGCGCTGGGACTATGGACCGTGGTTGGAGGTGGCCGAGGCCGGGCAAATGAATCATGCTGCCTTGAGCAATAATTGTGAAAGCTTCGTATTTTGATCACACCGCCAAAAAGTTGGTTTTGCCATCCACCCTGCGGTTTTGCAATGTATGTTTAACATTTCTTCGGTTGGTGACGAATCCTGCCAGATGGTTGCGTCCGCCATCATGGTCGGATGAACGCTACGTCTGCGCAATTTCATCGGCAAGGCGATGAAGAAATTAATCTATCCGAAATTATTGCAAGTTCGCCGTGATCTATCGCAGATTTGACAAATGTTCCATTTGAAATAGTCGACACGGAGGCAGTGGAAACGCCAACATATGTCTCTGTTGTTTCCGGATCGTGTTGTCCTACATGCAATTAGACCATGAGGTTATACCAGGCTTTGGTTTGCCACAATTTTTTGCCGCATGCCCAGGAGCTCCCGGGCGCCCCGGCCTGCTCAGATACTTACGTATATGAACGGGCGCCCGATGCTCTGACCAAAAGTCGCCCAGGAGCCCACTGATTAAAATCCACCGCTTGACGCTGGTAATGCATTGGTTGCGGCGAAATCCTCACCCAAAACATGAGCTTCAGACCGCCGTTCACATCGAGATGCCCGTAGAGCTACGGCGAATCGACTGAGTGCACGGTGGAAATGGAAAATGCGCGAAAGCGCTTGAACCAGACATTCTGGAAGCATTGGTGCCCTTTCCAACGCGGCTGAACTCTGAGCCGATTTTGCGACGCCATTTCCCGCACCGCGCACGTCCGCACGAGCGGCCGGTTTCGGGCAAAGCGCGGTCGCCACGTATAATGTCTCGTGCAATTCGTTGTTTAGTGCGTTGCGGCGGCGTCGGCGCTACACCTTACTTGGCGCCGTTTGCGCCCGGCGTCATTGTGAGTGGTGGATGCGCGCGGGGCATCCACCAATGCGAGACGGGATGGCAAACTCGCCCTCCTGGCGTTGGACTGGAAAAAAGCATTCGATTCAATCAATGATTTAGCCCTTTTGGACGCTTTGGAAAAATTTGGCGCGCCCGCTTACATGCTTCGCATTATTGGCCACATATGTGAAAACAGGAAGGTTCGCGCGGCAGAAGGCCCGAAGCGGTCCAGCGAACAGAACCAATTGTCTGCGATAGCACAAGGATGTCCGCTCTCACTTTTTCTGTTTGCGATGGCGATGAGCGCAGTAATCAAACGCGCAGAAAACAAAGTGCACGAAGAGACGCGAAGGTCTTTGATTCAAGGGGGGGACATCGACTCTTCGATATGCCGATGATGTTCTATTGGTGGGCCAAAAGGAATACCACTTGCAGCGCGTTTTGGACGCGATCGCGGAGGCCGGGGAAGAGATCGGCATGCAATTACATTGGAACAAATTCAAATTATTTCAGAAAGGCTGCGACTTTCGTTTACGAGGTCCACGTGGGAACATCATCAAATCAGGTGATCATCTTCTATATTTGACGATGGGGGGCCCCAGCGCGAACTCAACAGACGACTCGGGGCCGCATGGGGCGAATTCCAAAGATGCGCGAGAGCATGGAAACATGCGTCAATACGTACAAAAAAAAGTTGGCAGTGTTTGGTGCGCTGATTACCAGCAAAGTTATGTATTCTTTGAACTCAGCCTGGCTGAACAAACGAGAAAGCAAGATATTGGATGGATTCCAAGCGCGCTGCCTTCGCCAAATCATGAATATTCCTAATTCGTTTGCGTCTAGAATATCAGATATAACAGTTTTGCCCGGAGCCTGGACACCAAAGTATAGTTCGCAACTGTTGAAGCATCAATTAATATGGTTTGGGAAGATAGGAAGATCAAGCGCTGACGACTTGTTGAGACAATTGACTTTTCAACCAAACAGCATACGACCTTCCACCGACTCGTGCGTTCGGGCCCCCGGACGTCCAAGGCACGAGTGGGCGACAAGTTTATGCAATATCATCCGCTAGTGATTCCATTCAGAGTCAGACTTATTGGATTGCCTCGCAAACGAATCTGTTCGGATCGCATTTGATACGAAGTTTGCTCTTGGCCGCCACTCTCACGACAGCGATGAAGAATGGCTGTAATAACTATCGATTGCCTCTGTACCCTGGCAGGCTGCAAAACAATGGCTTCTTGCTCATCTTCCTCCTCCTCTCCCCCGTCTTCCCGGCGCGCATTTGGCGCGTCCTGGCCGCCTTATGCACGCATTTGGTGTGCAACTGTCACTGCTGGCGCGCATTTGAAGCGTCGTTGACTGCCCGGAGACCCCCAAGACGCCCGAAGAGGCTTCCAAGAGGCATCCGAGCGGCATTCAACCATCCACCCAGCGTCATCATTCTCCTCATCCATCCTTTGCTCGGTTCTTCGCCACCCCTTCATCTCTCCATCTGGACTCCTCTTCCGCCTCATCCTTTGCGCGGATCGGCTGTCCTTCTCGTTGCTCCCCCACTTCCATGATCTCTTGAGTTTGTCTGGACATCGATTCGACATGGGCTGGTGGTGATACGCGAAGCGCCAAGCATTCATATCGAACGAGCATCACATAACCAATTTTAGCCGAGGTGCAACGGCGGGGCCATTCGAA